AAACGCTAAATCATAGAGATAAGGCTAAGTATTTGTGACACTCATATCTTGCTGTGTGTTTATCCGTTTGGAGCATATTATATCTCGTTGGAAAGATAGATCGGAGCTTTAAAGCTATTTGTCCAACTTAATTTACAATTCATTAATTAAAAGTTACAGATTAACCATATATTCACAAATGTTTCTGATTTCACTCCGAACTCGTGTAGAATTTGATTCGATCATATCTTGCTCTATTTTGTGCCGTTGAAAGCGTTTAATATCTCGTTGGAAAGCTCTTACCGAGTTCTAAAAATTGTCTTCAGGTTCTGGTTACAAAATATCGAGGGAGGATTGCCTAATTACTAAAATACACTGTATTTACGCTAAAAGTACTCTATTTTCGCTGAAAACGCAAAATCTTAGAGATAAGGCTAAGTATTTGTGACACTCATATCTTGCTGTGTGTTTATCCGTTTCGAGCGTATTATATCTCGTTGGAAAGATAGATCGGAGCTCTAAAGCTATTGTTCCAACATAATTTACAATGCATTAATTAAAAGTTACAGATTAACCATATATTCACAAATGTTTCTGATCTCACTCCGAACTCGTGTAGAATTTGATGCGATCATATCTTGCTCTATTTTGTGCCGTTGAAAGCGTTTAATATCTCGTTTGAAAGATCTTACCGATTTCTAAAACTTGTCGTCAGGCGCTGGTTTCAAATTATCTAGGGATCATTGCCTAATTACTAAAATACACTGTATTTACCCTAAAAGTGCTCTATTTTCGCTGAAAACGCTAAATCCTAGAGATAAGGCTAAGTATTTGTGACACTCATATCCTGCTGTGTGTTTATCCGTTTGGATCGTATTATATCTCGTTGGAAAGATTGATCGGAGCTTTAAAGCTATTGTTCCAGATTCATGTACAATGCATTAATTAAAAGTTACAAATTAACGATATATTCACAAATGTTTCTAATTTCACTCCGAACTCGTGTAGAATTTGATGCGTTCATATCTTGCTCTATTTTGTGCCGTTGAAAGCGTTTAATATCACGTTGGAAATATCATACCGAGTTCTAAAACTTGTCTTTAGGCGCTGGTTTTAAAATATCAATGGATGATTGCCTAATTACTAAAATACACTGTATTTACGCTAAAAGTGCTCTATTTTCGCTGAAAACGCTAATTCATAGAGATGAGGCTAAGTATTTGTCACACTCATATCTTGCTGTGTGTTTATCCATTTGGAGCGTATTATATCTCGTTAGAATGATAGATCGGAGCTCTAAATCTATTGTTCCAACTTCATTTACAATGCATTAATTAAAAGTTACAGATTAACCATATATTCACAAATGTTTCTGATTTCACTCCGAACTCGTGTAGAATTTGATGTGATCATATCTTGCTCTATTTTGTGCTGTTGAAAGCGTTTAATATCTCTTTAGAAAGATCTTAGCGAGTTCTAAAACTTGTATTCAGGCGCTGGTTTCAAAATATCAAGGGATGATTGCCTAATTACTAAAATACACTGTATTTACGCTAAAAGTGCGCTATTTTCGCTGAAAATGCTAAATCATAGAGATAAGGCTAAGTATTTGTGACACTCATATCTTGCTATGTGTTTATCCGTTTGGATCGTATTATATCTAGTTGGAAAGATAGATCGGACACCCTAAAGCTATTGTTCCAACTTCATTTACCATGCATTAATTAAAAGTTACAGATTAACCATATATTCACAAATGTTTCTGATTTCACTCCGAACTCGTGTAGAATTTGATGCGATCATATCTTGCTCTATTTTGTGCCGTTGAAAGCGTTTAATATCACGTTGGAAAGATCTTACCGATTTCTAAAACTTGTCTTCAGTCGCCGGTTTCAAAATATCAAGGGATGATTGCCTAATTACTAAAATACACTTTATTTAAGCTAAAAGTGCTCTATTTTCGCTGAAAACGCTAAATCATAGAGATAAGGCTAAGTATTTGTGACACTCATATCTTGTTATGTGTTTATACGTTTGGAGCGTAATATATCTCGTTGGAAAGATAGATCGGAGCTCTAAAACTATTGTTCCAACTTCATTTACAATGCATTAATTAAAATTTATAGATTAACCATATATTCACAAATGTTTCTGATTTCACTCTGAACTCGTGTAGAATTTGATGCGGTCATATCTTGCTCTATTTTGTGCCGTTGAAAGCATTTAGTATCTCGTTGGAAAGATCTTACTGAGTTCTAAAACTTGTCGTCAGGCGCTGGTTTCAAAATATCATGGGATAATTGCCTAATTATTATTATTATTATTATTATTATTATTATTATTATTATTATTATCATTATTCTTAGTATCATCATTGTTATTATTATCATTGTTATTATTATCATTGTTTTTATTATCATTGTTATTATAATCATTGTTATTATTATCATTGTTATTATTATCATTGTTATTATTATCATTGTTATTATTATCGTTATTATTATTATCATTATTATTATTATCATTATTATTATCATTATTATTATTATCATCATTATTATTATTATCATTATTATTATTATCATCATCATTATAATTAATATTATTTATTATTATTATTATTATTATTATTATTATTATTATTATTTTTATTTTTTTATTATTATTTTTATTATTAAGATTATTATTATTATTATTCATATTATTATTATTACTAATATTATTATTATTATTACTATTATTATTATTGTTATTATTATTGCTATTATTATTACTATTATTATTACTATTATTATTATTACTATTATTATTACTATTATTATTATTATTGCTATTATTATTATTATTATTATTATTATCATTATTACTATTATTATTATTATTAGGGGTATTATTATTATTGTTATTTGATTATTATTATTACTATTATTATTAGTATTATTATTATTATTATTATTATTATTATTATTATTATTATTATTATTATTATTATTACAAATGTTTCTGATTTCACTCTGAACTCGTGTAGAATTTGATGCGATCATATCTTGCTCTATTTTGTGTCATTGAAATTGTTTAATATCTCGTTGGAAAGATCTTACCGAGTTTTAAAACTTGTTTTCAGGCGCTGGTTTCAAAATATCAAGGATGATTGCCTAATTACTAAAATACACTGTATTTACGCTAAAGGTGCTCTATTTTCGCTTAAAACGCTAAATCATAGGGATACAGCTAAGGATTTTTGACACTCATATCTTGGTGTGTGTTTACCCGTTTGGAGCGTATTATATTTCGTTGGAAAGATAGATCGGAGTTCTAAAGCTATTGTTCAAACTTCATTTACAATGCATTCATTAAATGTTACAGATTAACGATATATTCACAAATGTTTCTGATTTGACTCTGAACTCGTGTAGAATTTGATGCGATCATATCTTGCTCTATTTTGTGCCGTTCAAAGCGTTTAATATCACGTTGGAAATATCATACCGAGTTCTATAACTTGTCTTCAGGCGTTGGTTTCCAAATATCAATGGATCATTGCCTAATTACTAAAATACACTGTATTTACGCTAAAAGTGCTCTATTTTCACTGAAAACGCTAAATCATGGAGATAAGGCTAAGTATTTGTGACACTCATATCTTGCTGTGTGTTTATCCATTTGGAGCGTATTATATCTCGTTGGAAAGATAGATCGGGGCTCGAAAGTTATTGTTCCAACTTCATTTACAATGCATTATTTAAAAGTTACAGATTAACCATATATTCACAAATGTTTCTAAATGCGATCATAAATTGCTCTATTTTGTGATGTTGAAAGCATTTAATATCTCGTTGAAAGATCTTACCGAGTTCTAAAACTTGTCTTCAGGCTCTGGTTTCAGAATATCAAGGGATGATTGCCTAATTACTAAAATACACTTTATTTACGCTAAAAGTGCTCTATTTTCGCTGAAAACGCTAAATCATAGAGATAAGGCTAAGTATTTGTGAATCTCAAATCTTGTTGTGGGTTTATCCGTTTGGAGCGTATTATATATCTTTGGAAAGATAGATCGGAGCTATAAAAATATTTTTCCAACTTCATTTACAATGCATTAATTAAAAGTTACGGATTAACCATATATTCACAAATGTTTCTGATTTCACACCGAACTCGTGTAGAATTTGACGCGATCATATCTTTCTCTATTTTGTGCCGTTGAAAGCGTTTAATATCTCGTTGGATAGATCTTTACGAGTTATAAAATTTGCTTCAGGCTCCGGTTTCAAAATATCAAGGGATGATTGCCTAATTACTAAAATGCACTGTATTTACGCTAAAAGTGCTCTATTTTCGATGAAAACGCTAAATCATAGAGATAAGGCTATGTATTTGTGACACTCATATCTAGCTGTGTGTTTGTCCGTTTGGAGCGTATTATATCTCGTTGGAAAGATAGATTGGAGCGTATTATATCTCGTTGGAAAGATAGATCGGAGATCTAAAGCTATTGTTCCAACTTCATTCACAATGCATTAATTAAAAGTTACAGATTAACCATATATTCACAAATGTTTCTTATTTCACTCCGAACTCGTGTAGAATTTGATGCGATCATATCTGTCTCAATTTTGTGCCGTTGAAAGCGTTTAATATCTAGTTAGAACGATCTTACCGAGTTCTAAAACTTGTCTTTTGGCGCTGGTTTCAAAATATCAAGGGATGATTGCCTAATTACTAAAATATACTGTATTTACGCTAAAAGTGCTCTATTTTCGCTGAAAACGCTAAATCATAGAGATAAGACTAAGTATTTGTGACACTCATATCTTGCTGCGATATTATTATTATTATAATTATTATTATTATTATTTTATTATTATTATTATTATTATTACAAATGTTTCTGATTTCACTCTATACTTGTGTAGAATTTGATGCGATCATATCTTGCTCTATTTTGTGTCGTTGAAATTGTTTTATATCTCGTTGGAAAGATCTTACCGAGTTTTAAAACTTGTTTTCAGGCGCTGGTTTCAATTTTTTTTTTTGGATGAAATGTAAGTATATATTAACACCCAAGAAAAATAACAAGTTAATGTTACAATAAAAGTGCATATCCTAGTATATGGGATACCACAAAATCAAGCAAGAAAAGTCCTCCTAAATTCAACAAACGAGAGCCCAAAAACTCAAGAGATTCAAAGCTACAAGCAAGCTATCATAAAATAAAATTAGGTATCCCTAATTTAAGCTCCAAAGAAAGCTCGGAACGGAGAAGTGAACCTAGAGTCAAAACATATTTCCCCTTTCTTCTTTGTAACTCCCGGTTTCGCCTCAAGGCATTTGGTCACGAAAGTAAGGCCTTTCCCATCCAAATCTTCCGTAAGCCGAAGCGAAGTATCAACTCTAACCACACTCATGTGCACAAACTTAAACGGTTTGACATGAAACTTGAATGCCTTACCTTTGGTGATCACAACTTTGACGACCACATCATCAATCCTCAAATCTTTTTCATCCATTACTAACCTCTCAATATCTTCCGAGTCAGAATCGGAGCACTCATCATCAGAAGACCCCTGGGCAGTAGGCATAATCTCTAAAACGTTATAATCACCAACCAAATCCGCTTTGGCGGTCCCCTGGGACGTTGGCTGTCCAGAAGACCCGGTCGGGCCAGGGCAATGCCCGGTCGGGTAAGTTGCATCAGGCGTAGCAGCAAGTTGCAAAGTCAGGGCAACGGATACAGCTACTTCCACACTTTCCACCAGAATCTCCGTATCAATGCCCTTAATAGTTAGGCCAGGCAGGCTGGCAGTAACCTGCCCATGGACGGAAGAGGCTGCCCCCTGGGCGAGAGCCAACCCCGGCGCATCTAAAGCAGCCCCCTGGGCGAGAACCAGTCCTTGTTTGGTTTGGGCAGCCACACTTTCTTTCACCCCCTTCTTCACCTCACCCAATGTCAGCACTTTTCCAACCTTTTTCCAGCCCAATTCATTGCAAAGAAAGGGGTGATGCCCATAGGATTTGCAATGAAAGCAGAAATTAGGGAATGTTTCGTAAATAACCGCTTGATTAAAAGTCTTCCCCGATGGTAACCGGATAGGAACAGAAAGGCACGGGGCCAAGGTTAAGTCCACTTCAATTAAAACTCTTGCAAAATTGTAGTTAGACATCTCTTAGGTGACCTTGTCCGTAGTGATAGGAACACCCACCTTTGAAGCGATCTTGCTCATTGCCTCTTCATTCCACAAATTCAAAGGTAAATTGGGAAGTTTAACCCAAATAGGCACCTTAAGGAATGCCTCATCATCAAAAGTGAAGTCCTCAGAAAGCATTTTCAATATTAGTAATCTACCAAAGATGTTATAAGGTCCTTCAGTAAAAACCTTAGTTCTATCCTGCTCATTTTTAAACTTAAAAATCACCCATCCCTTGTTATGGGATTTCAACGTACAATGTACGCCCCAACTGTTCAAAAGCTCATATATTGCTTTAAGTCCCGGGAATCGACCTGTAAAGCAACCAACAAGGCAGAATCCCCACAACGAGACCATAGAAGGTAACACACAAATTGAAAGATCAACAACTTCATCAACGGAAGGTAGATATTTCAGTTTAATACCTTTAGACGGAGCACGATTATCTGTGAATAAGTCTGCCCATTGTGGGGTTCCAGCAGGTTTGGGAGTTTCTGTTACAGCCCCAATATTTGGGACAGACTGCCCAGCCTTGGCGTTTGAGACAGGTGTTTGTTTCTCAGCAGCTAATCCTTTCACAACTGTCCCTCCCTTTTGAATTGCAGCAGTAGGTTTTGGGACCTTAGTTAAGTCCTCATCCTTACCAATCGCAGGTGCAGCAGCAGTAAAGTCAACAACAGCAGGTTTAGCAGCTGAAATAGAAGACGGAGCTCCTGCATCATTAGTTGAGGCAGAGTGGCCAGCTCTACAAATCCCAGACCACGGGTCGGTATCAACAGCAGCAAAAGAGGGGATTCCAGCAGGTGTATCAGTCTTCCTCGCTGGTTTAGTCGTTCCAAGCCTTCCAGCAGGTGTGGGGGACAAAGCAGGAAAATCTTCCTCCATGGACTCCAACACAGCAAAGGACGACCTGGTGGTTCTCGCAGAAGGAGTCGCACCAGTGCTCTGTTTCGTTCTCGCCATCCCAGGTACGGATAAAAAGACAGTTGAAGGTAAATCAACCCTCGTTCCCAGGTTCTCGTTCGCACTCAAAAACACCAGTCAGTAAAATCATCCAGCCACTAAACCCCAAAATCGTTACCAGATTCAAGGTTAAAATCGAAAAACGAGCGGAAATCCAGCGATTCCAAAACTAAAATCGACCTCACATACAGAAATCAATACAGTGTTGAGCAGTAACAGTCGCGACAAAACATTCCGATTCTTCGTTTATGGGCCCGATTCATGGTCTTCCAAAGTTGAAAACCAAGAAGCAGCACAAATCCGAAGTCCTAGTATCAAACCTTCATTGAATCGATCGAAACTCAGACCTGCTAAAGCATGTACGGACGAAGAGAACTGGGACGGAAGTTCCCAGGAGAGAGACTCTCTCAACTCTCCCCTCAGGCCTTCAGGCGCTGGTTTCAAAATATCAAGGATGATTGCCTAATTACTAAAATACACTATATTTACGCTAAAGGTGCTCTATTTTCGCTGAAAACGCTAAATCATAGGGATAAGGCTAAGTATTTGTGACACTCATATCTTGGTGTGTGTTTACCCGTTTCGAGCGTATTATATCTCATTGGAAAGATAGATCGGAGCTCTAAAGCTATTGTTCCAACTTCATTTACAATGCATTAATTAAAAGTTACAGATTAACGATATATTCACAAATGTTTCTGATTTCACTCCGAACTCGTGTAGAACTTGATGTGATCATATCTTGCTCTATTTTGTGCCGTTCAAAGCGTTTAATATCTCGTTGGAAATATCATACCGAGTTCTAAAACTTGTCTTCAGGCGTTGGTTTCAAAATATCAATGGATCATTGCCTAATTACTAAAATACACTGTATTTACGCTAAACGTGCTCTACTTTCACTGAAAACACTAAATCATGTAGATAAGGCTAAGTATTTGTGACACTCATATCTTGCTGTGTGTTTATCCATTTGGAGCGTATTATATCTCGTTGGAAAGATAGATCGGGGCTCGAAAGCTATTGTTCCAACTTCATTTACAATGCATTAATTAAAAGTTACAGATTAACCATATATTCACAAATGTTTTTGATTTCACTCTGAACTCGTGTAGAATTTGATGCGATCATATCTTGCTCTATTTTGTGCCGTTGAAAGCGTTTACTATCTCGTTGGAAAGCTCTTATCGAGTTCTAAAAATTGTCTTCAGGTGCTGGTTACAAAATATCGAGGGAGGATTTCCGAATTACTAAAATACACTGTATTTACGCTTAAAGTACTCTATTTTCGCTGAAAACGCAAAATCATAGAGATAAGGCTAAGTATTTGTGACACTCATATCTTGCTGTGTGTTTATCCGTTTCGAGCGTATTATATCTCGTTGGAAATATAGATCAGAGCTCTAAAGCTATTGTTCCAACTTAATTTACAATGCATTAATTAAAAGTTACAGATTAACCATATATTCACAAATGTTTCTGATTTCACTCCGAACTCGTGTAGAATTTGATGCGATCATATCTTGCTCTATTTTATGCCGTTGAAAGCGTTTAATATCTCGTTGGAACGATCTTACCGAGTTCTAAAACTTGTCTTTTGGCGCTGGTTTCAAAATATCAAGGGATGATTGCCTAATTACTAAAATACACTGTATTTACGCTAAAAGTACTCTATTTTCGCTAAATACGCTAAATCATAGAGATAAGGCTAAGTATGTGTGACACTCATATCTTGCTGTGTGTTGATCCATTTGGAGCGTATTATATCTCGTTGGAAAGATAGATCGGAGCTCTAAAGCTATTGTTCCAACTTAATTTACAATGCATTAATTAAAAGTTACAGATTAACCATATATTCACAAATGTTTCTGATTTCACTCTGAACTCGTGTAGAATATGATGCGATCATATCTTGCTCTATTGTTTTCCGTTGAAAGCGTTTAATATCTCGTTGGAAAGCTCTTACCGATTTCTAAAACATGTCTTCAGGTGCTGGTTTCAAAATATCAAGGGATGATTGCCTAATTACTAAAATACACTGTATATACGCTAAAAGTGCTCTATTTTCGCTTAAAACGCTAAATCATAGAGATAAGGCTAAGTATTTGTGACACTCATATCTTGCTGTGTGTTTATTCGTTTGGAGCGTATTATATCTCGTTGGAAAGATAGATCGGAGCTCTAAAGCTATTGTTCCAACTTCATTTACAATGCATTAATTAAAAGTTACAGATTAACCATATATTCCCAAATGTTTCTGATTTCACTCCGAACTCGTGTAGAATGTGATGCGATCATATCTTGCTATATTTTGTGCCGTTGAAAGCGTTTAATATCTCGTTAAAAAGATCTTACCGAGTTCTAAAACTTGTATTTAGTCTCTGGTTTCAGAATATCAAGGGATGATTGCCTAATTACTAAAATACACTGTATTTACGCTAAACGTGCTCTATTTTCGCTGAAAACGCTAAATCATAGAGATAAGGCTAAGTATTTGTGACACTCATATCTTGCTGTGTGTTTATCCGTTTGGAGCGTATTATATCTCGTGGGACAGATATATCGGAGCTCTAAATATATTGTTCCAACTTCATTTACAATGCATTAATTAAAAGTTACAGATTAACCATATATTCACAAATGTTTCTGATTTCACTCCGAACTCGTGTAGAATTTGATGCGATCATATCTTCCTCTATTGTTTCCCGTTGAAAGCAGTTAATATCTCATTGGAACGATCTTACCTAGTTCTAAAACTTGTCTTCTGGCGCTGGTTTCAAAATATCAAGGGATGATTGCTTAATTACTAAAATACACTGAATTTACGCTAAAAGTGCTCTATTTTCGCTGAAAACGTTAAATCATAGAGATAAGGCTAAGTATTTGTGACACTCATATCTTGCTGTGTGTTTATCCGTTTGGAGCGTATTATATCTCGTTGGAAAGATAGATCGGAGCTCTAAAGCTATTGTTCCAACTTAATTTACAATTCATTAATTAAAAGTTACAGATTAACCATGTATTCACAAATGTTTCTGATTTCACTCCGAACTCGTGTAGAATTTGATTCGATCGTATCTTGCTCTATTTTGTGCCATTGAAAGCGTTTAGTATCTCGTTGGAAAGCTCTTACCGAGTTCTAAAAATTGTCTTCAGGTGCTGGTTACAAAATATCGAGGGATGATTGCCGAATTACTAAAATACACTGTATTTACGCTAAAAGTACTCTATTTTCGCTGAAAACGCTAAATCATAGAGATAAGGCTAAGTATTTGTGACACTCATATCCTGCTGTGTGTTTATCCGTTTCGAGCGTATTATATCTCGTTGGAAAGATATATCGGAGCTCTAAAGCTATTGTTCCAACTTCATTTACAATGCATTAATTAAAAGTTACAGATTAACGATATATTCACAAATGTTTCTGATTTCACTCCGAACTCGTGTAGAATTTGATGTGATCATATCTTGCTCTATTTTGTGCCGTTCAAAGCGTTTAATATCTCGTTGGAAATATCATACCGAGTTCTAAAACTTGTCTTCAGGCGTTGGTTTCAAAATATCAATGGATCATTGCCTAATTACTAAAATACACTGTATTTACGCTAAACGTGCTCTACTTTCACTGAAAACACTAAATCATGTAGATAAGGCTAAGTATTTGTGACACTCATATCTTGCTGTGTGTTTATCCATTTGGAGCGTATTATATCTCGTTGGAAAGATAGATCGGGGCTCGAAAGCTATTGTTCCAACTTCATTTACAATGCATTAATTAAAAGTTACAGATTAACCATATATTCACAAATGTTTTTGATTTCACTCTGAACTCGTGTAGAATTTGATGCGATCATATCTTGCTCTATTTTGTGCCGTTGAAAGCGTTTACTATCTCGTTGGAAAGCTCTTATCGAGTTCTAAAAATTGTCTTCAGGTGCTGGTTACAAAATATCGAGGGAGGATTTCCGAATTACTAAAATACACTGTATTTACGCTTAAAGTACTCTATTTTCGCTGAAAACGCAAAATCATAGAGATAAGGCTAAGTATTTGTGACACTCATATCTTGCTGTGTGTTTATCCGTTTCGAGCGTATTATATCTCGTTGGAAATATAGATCAGAGCTCTAAAGCTATTGTTCCAACTTAATTTACAATGCATTAATTAAAAGTTACAGATTAACCATATATTCACAAATGTTTCTGATTTCACTCCGAACTCGTGTAGAATTTGATGCGATCATATCTTGCTCTATTTTATGCCGTTGAAAGCGTTTAATATCTCGTTGGAACGATCTTACCGAGTTCTAAAACTTGTCTTTTGGCGCTGGTTTCAAAATATCAAGGGATGATTGCCTAATTACTAAAATACACTGTATTTACGCTAAAAGTACTCTATTTTCGCTGAATACGCTAAATCATAGAGATAAGGCTAAGTATGTGTGACACTCATATCTTGCTGTGTGTTGATCCATTTGGAGCGTATTATATCTCGTTGGAAAGATAGATCGGAGCTCTAAAGCTATTGTTCCAACTTAATTTACAATGCATTAATTAAAAGTTACAGATTAACCATATATTCACAAATGTTTCTGATTTCACTCTGAACTCGTGTAGAATATGATGCGATCATATCTTGCTCTATTGTTTTCCGTTGAAAGCGTTTAATATC